CACACACACACACACACACACACACAATGCACAAAACTCTGCATTTGAACTGTCAATAGCAAATACTTAAACTAATAACAAAACATACTTACAGTAGCTGATTCAGAAGCGCCAGATTGTCATAGTAAAGTCAGAATTACCTCCTCTCCTAGGTTCACGAAACGGTCGTCCATAAAATGCATTGCTGTTCTGTTGTAAGTGATCTTAAAGATTCCTAATTGCATCTACTTTCGGAAGGCCAAATAAAGTGCTTTTGCTTTCGCCTAGAAACACACAGCGTCTCCCTGACATGGCTGCTTCAACACTAACTGCGGTTACTGAAACCATGCCTTCTTTCTTTGCGTGCACATTTGGGTGGCATTATGCAAATGTTTCCACATAGTGAGGTAGATATGTGGGGGCATGTTAGAACGAGCCGTTTTAGTGGGGCGTGGCAGAGTCTTTACTTTGATAAAGAATATCTCTTTGGTTTTGAGACTTTAGTCTTTGCAACTTCAGGGATCTTATCTATGCACAATCAGCTTGTAACACTCCAAAGAGAAAGGAAAACTTGAAATCGCATCATATGACCCCTTTAAAGACTGCCGTGGACAGCAAGTTTTTGATATTCTTCATATTCTGTGAGGTGGTCAGTTCACACTGATAGATTTTTTTTCCAATAAGTTTAAACTGATTTTTCATATTATGGGCTTTTTTACCTTTATAAAGCCATTTTTTCTAAAAGTGTCCAATTATCTTTTGAGTCAAATTCTTGCATTTAATCAGTGAATTAGAATAATAAGACATTTGGGCTGTTATCAACCAAATTAAATAATTATCACTAAAATTCATCTTTGCAATGAAGAGGAAACAGAATCTGCATCTGAAGTGGCATTTAGATGTATTTACACACTGTTTAATGCAAGTTATGAATGCATTTAACCTGCAATTATAAATGCATAAATAATGTTTTAATATATTAAACACAAAACGTTGAATGCTGATATTTGAAATTATTTAAATAATAAATGATACTTTGAATGTGAAATTAAAACCACCAGTAGGTGGCAGCAAGTCACTGTTAATAAGTGAGTCATTGTGATTCAACTGAATCATTTAAACTGTTGATTCATTCAGGAACGAATCACCGTCATGTTGGTCAGAGATGCAAAACAGAATTGTGGCTGTTTTTGGAATAATTTTTGTTGTCGAAATAGCGCAAAAACAGGAAATATGGTGTCTAAAACTTTATTTAAGTTATTAAGTTTAAGTCTATTAATTAACTTATTGTTTATTGAACTGTTGTAAAAAATTAATATCACATTCGTAATCATGGTAATTTTTGGAGAAAAACGGCACTCCTCATGTGAAATTGAATAACTAGACTATATTATGAAGTGGTATAAATATATACATGATCTGCCCCATGTCTTGAATTTGTGATCATTTTAAATGCATTTTAATAGACTGAATCATGCAGTGAAATAACTCATATGCACACTAGACTTCACATAATGGATGTGTGCACTCTATTGGGGTGTTTTGAATGGTTATGCAAAATACTCGATAATGTCAAATCGCACATTGTTAAAACAGTTACGATATTATTGCAGACGATATAAATCACACACCCCTTGGCGTGATCACATTAGAGATAATGAATTTAGACGGGAAAGAATGAACATCGTGTTGGTTTTATAACAGAATATTTGTTTTCGATATGACTTACTTCATTTAAAAGTAGACACTTCAAGCTTTCTATAGATATATCTCTCATGTATGTGTGTCAAGTATTTACTGAGTTTCAGTACATTTTAATGACATTTTAATGTTTCAGATGGATATTTGCGAAGACAGAGAGTGCACCCTGTTTGTTTTCTTTATTTTACAAAAGCACAATGTTTTGTTGTTATTGTGAGTGTACACAAATAAAAGTAGACTCTTACCAGTTTTGGATGTATAACACTTATTTGTGTGACCAAAATCGGCAGAGTATTTTAAGTGTCTTTCGCACTGATCTTAAGAAAAGTGAGCTGGTTGCGCTGGTGCGACCATGACCCCAGGTTGTTAAACTTAAGAAATGTGGCCCATAAATGTTGAACCAAAAATATGAATAAGGGCAATTCTGATATCCCAGCAGAACATAGCAATTGCTTATTCAACAAGTTTGAACAAAGTCCCTTTAAGACAAGTCACTCGGTGGCCATCTTTGAAATACCTCTCGGGCATGCAAGTGCAGCTCCTATCTCTTTGAATGGGGAAACAGCAAATTCTCAAAAACTGTTCGCCAAGTTACGATTAAATTTCATATTTGAAATCACCAATGAAATCTGACAACAACTGTATCATAAATGTTGTTTATTTTGCTCAAATAGTGTTAAAAAAAAACTTACTTTTCAGACTAGACCAGCCAGTGCGCAGTCCTAAGCGCATATCTCAGAACCCTGACTGTTTCTATAGCAACTGGAACTTCTAATGGCAGCTACAGTGACACACTGACTTTACCGATTTGTGATTGGCTCTTTTACTCAGAACAAGAAGAGCAGCCATATTGAGTGTTGCATTTTTCCCCATTCAAAACTATACGAGTGACACATCTTGGGTATTCTATTGTCTTTGGTTTGAAAAGCTTTCTTAATTGTGCATTGTGGCTACAGATTTGAGTATCTGGATCAATAGATCCATTATGAACTATTCTGCTTCTCCAAAATTATCCAAATTAACTCTAAGTTAGTTTTGGGCTAAGTTAGTCATGACACTGGTTTACTCTGGAAAATAAGACTGTAGAGAGGTAGGTAATTAAAGATTGAATGCCATGTAATGCTATTCTCATGGCGAGAGCTCTATTACATAGAGTAGTTTTAAAAGCAACCTGTTTAAAACAACAAATTCAAAGAATACGAGATGTTTTTATTATACAAATGAAAAATAAATCTAAAAGTTGTTTAACTCTTATTCAATTAGAAAATGAGAGTGTGTAGATCATTGTTTGACATTTTTTAGGATAAAATTTCATGTAAAATGTTGCACATGTCTCATTATGTAAGAATGCAGGGTAGGTCTGAGAGAAAGGATTTGACATTTTGGATTTCAACTGGCAGCTTCCTTTGCAGGAGTATCAGATTATTAATTTCCTAATAGACCAATCGGACCTGAAATCAAACAGAAAATAATATTAAGAATTGACTCTGAAAAAGGTCTGTTATAGCAATTTATTATGGGGTATTCAGTTTTCAATTTTCCATTACTTGAAAACATGATTTTGAACATGTAAAATATGCATTTGAAAACAGGACAGCTCTGGACAGAACATTAGGAGAGAATGATATGTATGTGGTAACATTGGGAATTAATTGTATTTTCATTCCAGCTCAGGATGCTGATGGAAGGAATATAAGTATCAGGTAGGATTAAAACTGCAGTTTTAATCAGCATTATATTTGTTTTTTAGATAGCTAACTTCTATCATCCTGTATTTAGTAATGGTTTTGACCACTGCTAAAGTTTATAGCCTTTTAACTGTAAAACTTGAGTTTTTCTGATTAACAACCTCCTATGTGAAAATTCACTAGGAAGAGCATGGTAAGCAAAACATTTCAGAATATGTATATGATTATTTTTTTTTATGGTTATCAAAGAATGATAAAAAGGGAGGAGTATAAGGGAAATTTTATAATTTTAGGTATTATTTGCTTTACTCTACTAAAGAGTGTTCTTTAAACTGTTTAACCCTTGTATGGTGTTTGGGTCTGTGGGACCCGTTTTCACTTTTTATCAAAATAAAAATTATACTATTAATGATTGTTTTCAAACTCATTGGCCTTGGCTCATTTTCTGTGAAGAACATATATCAGAACAAATTTTCAATGACCACTCACTGTACACCCCCCTACAAATTTATATTACATACAGGATGTTCGGGTCCACTGGACCGGGAGCTAATAAAAGAGTGGAAATTTTAGGTCCTGTTTACCTTGTTACTGTGTGAGAGAGAGAGAGAGAGAGAGAGAGCGAGAGAGAGAGAGAGACGTTAAACACACACTTTATTTTACAATCATATCATGAAACCATTTTGTAATTGACAATTCCCAACAATAAATAAATATATATTTTTAAATTCAGTGTTGACTACACAAACCTCAGCAATACCAATTTAGCACTAATTCATCATCATTGTCATTCACAAAAATAAAATTTGTATTTATACACCACTTTCTTTTAAATATTAATATATCATTATTCATTTGATAAAATTCATACTCTATTTTAACTCTAGATTACACTAAGGCTTTAAACAATTTTATTATATTAATTATTTTCCCTTCGTTTTCAATTTTATATGCTTTCCAAATTGTTAACTTTGCTTGACCAATTAAAAAATTGGAAAAGGTACAACGCTCACTTTGAGACTTATAATATTTACACCCAAAAATGAACCTTGTTTTTGAAAAATTCCAACAAAACCCCTTAAAAATATTCTCCAAAAGGTCCAAAAGAGGTATAATTCTATAACAATTAGAAAAAATATGAAATACAGTATCTGGTACATTGCAAAATTTACAAACTAAAGATGTATTAAGATTACACTTATACAAAAAGGTCTTTGTTGCTAGTGCACAATGCAGAATGCGCCATTGTATATCTCCTGATCTTTATGGTAATGGACTTTTATAAAACAAATGCCATGATGGCGATTGTACATCAGAAACCAAAAGATAACTCCTCCATTTTGTGTCTGTCTTATTTTTAAAATATTCACAAAATCTCGACTTCACACAAGCTATATATAAATTGTGCTTACTACTTTCAGAAAAACACATATGTTGAATTTCTTGTAAAGAAAAAAGTTGCCTTGTACCTTCATTATCCTGCCAGTTATATGGTTTAACAAATAATTCAGGAAAAGAACACTGATTTAAACCACTAACAAAAAAATCTTTGAGGAACTTATTTAACGATAAAGGAAATGATGTTTTTAGCTTACTTAAAACATTTTTCACAATCCTTTCTGACCTTCTCCCCATTTGTTGAATAATCCCTTGTATAGAAAACCACTTATTTTGTTCTGTATCAATTAAATCTCCCACTTTTAAAACACCAGATGAAATAAAGGTGTTGATTTCAATGTTTGGTAAACTATATTGATGACATAACCATGAATTATAAAAAAAGTGGTTCTTCAAGACCAAAATGATGCTCTCTCTCAACTTTAAATATGCTCCATGCACTTAGTACAGACTGATAAAACCCCATCATGCCCAAACCTTCAATTACTTTTTTAGACATTAGAAATAATTGTCTGTCAAGTCCCATTTTACTAGTGGCTCATAATACTGCCAAACCACACATTATCCAAGGCTTCAATTCCGTATTATAAAGCATTTTTTGGGCTGATTGTAACCTCATAGCTTTCCATTTTGACACTAAATCAATAAGACCTTGACCACCTTCAAACACAGGTAAATTCAAAATGCCTGGATGAAGCCAATGATGTCCTCCCCAAAAAAAGTTTACAAAATGTCTCTGGAGCAGCTGCAAAAGTCCTGCTGGAGGGTCCAGAACAGTCAATCGGTGCCACAACATTGATGCAGCCAAGTTGTTTACCACTAGAACCCTGCCTCTGTACGATAGCTGTTGTTGAATCCAACTCCATCTTTTTAATCTTCCAAGTACTTTTTCAACTACTCCATCCCAATTCTTTGTCATATATTGTTGAGTACCAAAAAAGATTCCAAGAATTTTCACTCCCTCTGTGTTCCAATGGCACTGCTGTGGGAGATGAGGTGGATCTTCTCCTTGCCATTGACCAAACAGTAGTGCTTCTGTTTTGTTCCAATTCACCCGTGCTGAAGATGCTTTTTGATATAAGTCCAAACACTTGCACAGTTAAAAAATATCTTCTTGGGATCTTATTATAACCGTAACGTCATCAGCATAAGCAATAAGTTTAACTGTAGTAGCTTCCGATATATTGGGATTGAGGACTGAAATACCTTGTAGTTTTTCCCTTAGAACTCTTAATAAAGGTTCTATAGATATTGCATATAAAAGTCCTGAGAGGCTGCATCCTTGTCTTACACCTCTACGAACAGGAAAAGTTCTTGTTAAGGTTCCATTTATCTTCAGCATACTACAAACATCTGTATAGAGTATCTGAATTGATGAAATGAACTGTTCTCCAAATCCAAAAGCTGACAAAGTATTAAAAAGATATCCATAATCGACTCTGTCAAATGCCTTTTCCTGGTCAAGAGACAAAAGGCCTACATCAAGTTTATATATCTCAGTAAGATGTTGTAGGTCACGCACCAGAAAAAGGTTATCAAAGATGGAACGTCTTGGAATGCAATATGATTGATTTTCATCAATTATAGAAGCCATAACCTTCTTCAAACAATTTGTTAGTGTTTTTGAAAGGATCTTATAATCTATTCCTAGAAAGGAGATAGGACACCAGTTTTTCAAGAATCCTAAATCTCCTTTCTTCGGCAACAACGTTATTATGGCTCTTCTGCAACTGAGAGGAAGAATTTTTGATTTTTCACATTCAAGAAACACAGCATGTAAATCTGGTCCAATCAATGACCAAAAAGATTGATAAAAATCAGAGGTCAGTCCATCTAACCCCAGAGATCGTCCAGAAGATTGTTGTTTAGCCGCTGTGCTCAATTCTTCAAATGAAAGTGCTTTTTCCAGTTGTATCTTCTCATCTGCACTCACTTTTGGAATTCCACTGAGAAAAAAATCTATTGCCTCAGAATCACAAGGTTGAGCACTATAGAATTCTTCATAAAAAGACAAAACTTGTGAAACAATTTCTCTCTTTTCTGTTGTCTCTCTTCCATCAGATAGTTTAAGATGAGTAATCAGCTTCTTTTCTCGAACTTTTCTTTCCAATGCAAAAAAGAAAGATGTTGAAGAATCCATATTATTAAGTTGAGTAAATCTTGTTTGTACTTTTGTTCCTTGATCTCTTTCTTCATGCAAATTTTTTAAAAGAAAGTTATATTGTTCAAGCAAATCTCCACTAGTTCCGTCTCTTTCACTTATGGAGCTATTCAATCCCATTATTTCTTTTTCCAGCTGTTCAATTTTCTTCTGGATTTCTTTTGCATTGTTTTTTACGTACTGTTGACAAAACGACTGAATCTGAATTTTCCCAATGTCCCACCATTGACTTAGGGACTTAAACTCTGTCTTTCTCTCTCTCCAAGCTCTCCAAAAGAAAGGAAATAAATGTACAAATGTACGATCTTGCAGCAAGTTGTTATTAAAATGCCAATAAGATTTGTAAATAGTACTTGATGTTGTAACCATAACAGAAACAGAATAATGATCAGAAATTGGTGTAGGATTAATTCTACTATCAAAAAATCGTTCTCTTCTACCCGTCTGAACATATATTCTGTCTAATCTAGCCCCTGATATTATATTTGAATTTATTTTCAGCCATGTATATTGCCTACTTTTTGGAAGGGATTCTCTCCACACATCTACAAGCGAATGGAAAAGTATTACACTGTTATCCCTGAAATTGTTTTAATTCAAAATACTTAGATACAATAAACATAAACTCCAACATTTTTGCACAATTACTCAATTTGTTTAGTTTGTTGTACGATTTGCAAGATTTTTTTCATTCTATTGAATTGTTTAAACTGAATGTACTTAACAGTTTATTCTAGTCTGTTGTCAGTGAAACGCAATACAAGGAAGATTTTGATTGGCTTCTTTGAACTGACGTCAGGCATGGATGCAGCGCGGATTTTTACGTCTGCTGGTGACTGTGAGTAGGACTTTACATTTTTGTCTCAAACAGCAAATACATTAATAGTCGTTAATAAATGAGAGGTATAACAGTTAGCTAGTAACTCTAAATGTAAGTTTAGGCTGTGTTTACATGTAAATTTACGCCACAGTGTTGTACCGATCGATCGCAACCGCCACAATTACATATAACGTTAGTTCTATGTTACGACATGCTCTATCGTCACATCTAAAATCTAATGCGTATCATATTTTTGATCAACAATCATTTACAAATCATTAAACAAAGCGTCATCTGTTGTGTAAAACGATATATCTTGTTCGATGGTGTTGGTGAATCTTGGTGGTTTTTCTTATCAGAAATGTTTAACATGTGACTTTAACACAAATACAGCGAAACTTTATCACTGACCGATTAGTTTTTTTTTTTTTTTCATTTCTTTGTGAGTGAAGTATTAAACAAACTAGCTTAAATTGAAACTCGACCCTGTTTTTACACGCGAGAAATACTAATCCAAGTTAGTTAGCTGTCTTAGTTATCAAATAAATGCAACCTCGTGCTCATCAGCGTGGTATTAGCTAAGCTACATTTCAGTTAATACGATTCTATTGTACGATGACATGCTAGATAAAAAAAAAAAAAGCTAGATAGTACTTTAATTCTTTTGGCTAGCTGTTTATAGAAGATTTGTAGATCACTGATCAAAATATTGGGAAAAGAGGAAGATACTCTACCAGCAGTGATCCACCTAACAAGAACATCAAGAAACCAAGGAAAGGGGAGGTCAACTACCTACCTAACCTTCCAAGTGG